CGGAAGCCACTTCAGGTCACTGTGAGCATCAGGGAGCAAGGTCTGTTTCCTCGAACGGAGCAGGAATGCCACGGCAGTTATTTATTGTTTTCCATGTAAGTTATTTCCTAAGAAACTCCACTTCAGTTTACTGGTCTGGTGAATCCATATATCCACACCATTATTGCCATTTCCGATATCAGGCAATCCAATCATCTAATGTCTTAAATACCATTTAATAGTTCTTTTTATGGTTGTGAACTAATTGTGAAAGTTGTTAATAGAGCAAGGTTAAATCACCCATGATTCTCTTACCCATCCAAACCCTGCTAATTTTTGAAGGGCTTCCTATTTGTGGCTTTTTCCTCAATCCTAACATCTTTGGCAAAATCTTTAGTAAATACTTTCTGGTGATTTATTTTAATGTTTATTTACTGCATACACACTTCAACTACTTAGCAGCAGACTGCAGTGTGGGATGGATTATAATAAAAGTTAGGGATTTGTTATTTGTTTGAATCATTTGGACTTGTATTTCTGTATATGCAATGATGGTTTGCCCAGAATTGTCAGGGAACATTGTGCTACTAAATACTACCTTTCAGTAAAAAGCTAATGTGTAGCCCAGCTCACAGCATACAGACACACACACACACACACACACACACACACACACACACACACACACACACACCTTGCTTTTGAACTTGCCCTGGTGATTCTCAGTACAGTGCAGCCAAGTATAAGACATCAGTGAGATACCAGTGTCCCAGGTCAGGCAGGGAGAGACAGGGATGTGCTAGTGCCCTTCTATGGGTCCCTTTTCTGTTTCTGATGCCTGGCAACTGCCTCTTCTTACCTCCATGGTAGTTACCTGCTGTTGTGAGTGCTGAATACCTTATCATTCTTGAGGTTTCCCTAATGCTGTTATGTTTGCTTGTTTGCAATGGGGTCTCACTATGTAGCCTTGTCTGGCTTGGTATTAGCAAGTAGATCTGTCTGCCTCCCACGTTCTGGGAGTAAAGGTATGTGCCTCTGTGCCTGGCTTAATGCTGCAATTCTAATGAGACTCCCTTATATCACTCCTAAGCTAGATGATCCACTAAAGAAGGACTTGTATCATTCAATATATAATTGTCACTATGGCTACAATTTTATCTTAATGAAAGGATACAAAGTGAAATCCACAAAATAGAAGGCACATGAGATGATGTCTAGTACAGTCAAGTAGTTCAAAAATCTCCCAGCAGAGTCACATCAACACGGCCAATTTCTCCAGCAACGAGTTGTGGCAATCTGTATGAAATGAAGGAGAAAGTTTCTCTGATGATGGCTAAGCAAGGTACTGATGTGTGAATAAAGCAGAATGCCGTCTGGAATCATATTATTGCTGCATTCCTATAGCAGAACAGCAGCGTTTACTCTTATCCTATATTCCTGGGTTATTTAGTCTCAGGTTCTCGGTCACCCAAGCAGTGTTGGGTATGGGTTCCATCTCATGGAGTGGCCTTGAGTCAAGTCAGTCACTGGTTGTTACTCCCACAGCTCTGTGTCACCAGTGCCCTAGCATATCTTGCAAGTGTCGTGCCAGGTTTGCGGAATCCCAGAGACTAACCCAAGGAGTCGTCGCTTCTGATGCAAAAGCAAAAGGTCTCTTTTTATTGTTCAAGCTTGTCAGTTTGGATCCCTTTCCATGGCCGAAGAAATGAGGTGCCCACCAGTCAAAAAGGGAAACTTTTAAAGGGAAAAAGAGAAAGGGAGTCACGAGACTGCAAGTCTCAGTTCCCAAGGTTCCCATGGTTACAGAGATTACTTAGCACACGAAGTTTCCATACAAGGTTATCATGAGGAAGGCAGTAACTGTCACCTGGTCAGGTAAAATTAATTGACACATCTGTGGGCTGGGGCTTATGATCAGAGCACATCCTGCAATCTAAAAGTTTTACAACCACTAGGTCAAGAGGCTATCTCGTTACCATGGTTCCCAGGCTTCTCAAGGCAGGGGGGTAGGGGCAGATGTTGGTGCAGCTGCTAACGGATTCGAGCTTCTGGTCACGTACTCCATGATCTGAGGGCTCTCTCTTTCTTTGTCACAGCCTAAACGTTTATGTCTTTTAGTTATTAATTTTTCTATCACAGCAAGCAGGGCACCATTGTAGATACAGGGTTTGTAGCTGACTTGATGTTCACATTTCTCCTTTGGTAGTGTACAGAATGCCCCCCTATACCAAAGATGCTAGCATGTAGGGGTGAAGCTCTGTGTAGGCACCAGCTCAACTTCTCCATGTTCAGTGAGTTGTGTGGGTGCTGTCGTCAGCAATGGGGCCTTGTCAGTTTATGGAGAGAAACCTATATAGTCTTGGCAACACCCTGGGTTGTTTAGGAGTTCCCATGGGGTCCCTCTGGCTAACAATTCAATTACATGTAACCGAATCCCAGGACTGGCAGTTTCATTTAGTGGCAAGAGATGTCTAGTCAGGGCTCTGTCTTCCCCATTATTCGGCAATTTCCTTTAGACCATCTTCATATAAGTATGTATTTTAGGAAGCTTCTACTATATTAGGTTTCCACACTACCCCTCAGATGGCCCTTAATATTAGTTGTCTCTTCCTGTATTCCCTCCTTTGTCCCTTTTTCCCTCTCCCTCCCCCATTTAATTCTCCTGTTTCACTGTCCTCCCATCCATCCATAACTATCTGTCGTATTTCACAGGGAGATCTTCTCCTGCAGTCTATTACTCTATACCTAACCTCTGTGGTTCTATGGATTGTAGTTTGCTTATCACTGACTTAACAGCTAATATCCACATATAAGTGAGTATATACCATACTTGTCTTTCTGGCTCAAGGTTACCTCACTCGGGATGAATCTTTTCTAGCTCCAGCCGTTCACCTGCAGATTTCTTTCAGTAATGGCTGAGTAATGTTACATTGTACAAATATACCACATTTTGTTTAATCCATTCATCTGTTGAAGGACATTTAGTTTTTCCCCAGTTTCTGGCTATATGAACAGAAATGAGTCACTCTCTACTTCTGTACACTATACGATTGGATCTTTCTCTTCTGGTTCTCCCTTGGGAGGCACATTCTGTTTCAGATATCCAGGCTGTTTATCTGAAGCCCCAAGACTCTCCCCATCGCTTAACATTGTCCCTTTGGGGATAAGCAAGACGTCAGAAAAGCAAGGATCATAGTACCCCACCACCTGATTGTGACCTTGACCCCGCCTTAGAACTTCCTTCCATAACTCCCTTGACACCATCAGTGGCTAGGTGGGCTTTGAGTTTCTGTTTAACTACTTGCACTTTCAGGTACTGTGGTCCTACCCTAGGCTTCTCAGAGTTCAACTGAGGTGGTCCTCTTATGAGTCGTCTATTAGTTACTTTTTTTCAACCTCTCCCATAAGGTGCAAGCCCACCCCAGATTCCTTTTCTGCTAACGTGAATATTTCTATTGTCTACTGCCACATTTTAAAATTATTCCAAAATTGAGTGACTTTAAACAGAAAATATTTCACTGTCTCACATGCTGTAGTAATGCAAAAATTTGGGCAGTGCTTAGCTAGACACGTTTTTTGCTCAGTGCAATGCCATTTGGGTCTCTTAGACACATTCACCAGCTCTTAAAGTGTGCTAGATAGCCAAGACCTCTCACTGAAAAGTCTAGCTCACCACCATGCAGGCTGAGGGCTCCTCTATATGGTTTCTCAGGTAGGTTAGCTACAGTTCCGAATGACAGCCAAGACTCTTGAGAACCCGTGAACGGGGCTGCCTGTCTTTTAACAGACAGGTCTGGCCCTGCCAGGGTCCTCTTGACAGATGGCATTCTGCAGTGTAACCACAAGCCCACCCAGATTCAAGGAGGAGAACGACCCTACCCTGACTGGGAGGAGTGAGAAAGAATATAGGACCAAGTTAGTTCCATGAGAGTTCAGGTTCTGATGCAAAAACTTTTTAAACCACCATAAAATATACTTTCTTTTCCATAGCTGGGCATAGGAACAGCACCTGGCATGAAGGAAATACAAGCTCTGCCTTTCGCTACTCTCTTCTACTGTAAATCACTACGTGGATTAATGCCACAGGCTGAAGTATTGCTCCCTCCCCAGGCAGTAAAGTCTCTGAGCTGCTCATACCAGAGTCATAAATCACAAATGGGATATCGGATTTTCCAATCCAGTGGGGGACTGAAGAGCCTTTGGCAGTGATTCTTTCTAGCCTTGTCTCTTCAGAGGCCAATCTATCAGTAGATTGGTGACTTCCCACTGTGCTGAGAGTGTATTTCTCTCCTGCTGCAAGCCAGACACCACCTTCCAGGTGTGTGTGTGTGTGTGTGTGTGTGTGTGTGTGTGTGTGTGTGTGTGTGTGTGTGAAAAGGATCAGAGAACAACCTTGGGTGTCATTCTTTAGACACCATCTGCCTTTTTGTTGTGAGATAGGGTCTCTCATTTGCCTCGTACTCATAAAATAAGCTAAGGTTGCTTTCAGCAAACTCCGGGGACCTGCTTGCCTAGTCGTCTGTGCTGGGATCACAAGCTTATACCACCATGTTTGGCTTTTCGTTTAAATAGGATCTGGTTATAGAACTTGGATCCATGTAACTGACTGATCCAAAGCCCTGACTGTGATCTTCTTGAAGCCATTTCTGGGACCATGTTCAGGCTGGTCACAGAGGGTGGACTCTGGGTAAAACTACTGTATAGGAATCCCCTGGGTTTGTGCCACTCTTGGGATAACCTCCTGAAACATTCCAGTTTAAAGAATACAGCACCAGGAAAGTTCTGGCACTTACATGAGTTGCCTCTCCAGAAACACACATGCTATTGGCTTTAAGTTGCCAGGGGAAGGGAGGCAAAGGCCTGTGTCAGGAGACAGACTAGCTTTGAGGAGAGGGGAGTTTGAAGAACTTGGAACACAATGGGAATAATGCAAGCTTTTATCACACCCAGCAAGAATCATGTACAGCATTGGCTCACAAAAAACAAAAAAAAAAACAAAAAACGAAAAAAAAAACCTTGCCAGCAGTGAGCTCACTGTGACTTCATTTGCTGCTCCATGAAGTGCAGTCCTGTTGCTCAGGTAATGAAGTCAAGACCACTTAAATCCACTGCTCAAAGGTCATCCAAGTCTTCTGTAAACAAATTATACATATTGACTTTAAGGAAGGAACACTGCCCTTTTTTCTACATCAAGTTTTAAAAGTAGGACAAGGGACTGGAAAGATGGCTCAGCAGTTAAGAGTACTTGCTTCTCATACGGAGGACAGCACCCACAACCACTTGTAACTACGAGTCCAGAGGATCCAACACCCTCTTGTGGCCTCCACAGGCACTTGCACACATGTATATACACACACACACACAGACACACACACACTCACATAGTGTGTCTAAATAATAAAATTAAACATTTTTGCACCTCACAGTATGACCTGAGGAACAGATGAAGCTTTGGCATGAGATGTCTGCTATATAAAAATTGTGGTGACAGTCTGGCCCAATGTGATTAAGCATTTGAACTTGTGTGCGGTGTCTCAGTCTCTCTGTGGCTGTGATAAAGCTCACTGACAGAAGCAGTTTAAGGGAAGAGGGTTTACTCTGGATCCCAGTTCTGGGTCACAGTCCATCGGGGCAGGGAAGTCAGGAGCTGGAGCTTGAGGGAGCAGGTCACACCGCATCTGCTGTCAACGAGCAGAGTGACGACCGCATGCTGCTGCTGGGCCCTGGCTGCACTTGCACAGGATTCAGGTAAGGGCAGGGAGCCACCAAAACTGCCTGAGTTCCCACTTGGAGGAAGACAGTTAGGATGCTCTGCTCCTGGCATGTGCAGAGGCCCATCTCCCGGGTGATGTTCTCTTTCAGGTTGACAGTTGTCACTGACCGTCAAACACTGGTAGAGCAGAGACTGGGAAGCTGCTGATGTCATGAGCAGATAGATAAAGGCTAGAGGAGTCAGAAGCTCTTGGAAAGGACAAACCTGCGTGTGGTGGTGTGTGTCTGTAACACTAGCGCCAGTGGGTAGAGGCAAGTAGATCCTGGGGACTTGATGACCAGCCAGTCTTACTGAAATAGTAAGCTTTGTGTCCAACGAGGGACCCTCTCTCAAAAGCCAGGATGTCAAGCGACAGAGGAGGACGTGTGATGTCAAACTCTGGTCCCCAGAGTGCATGCACCCATGCACACAGACGTATGCATACACCCACCCCAGCACATGTATTTGTGCAGTCCCTCTCACATACAGAAAGAGTGGGAAGGGGAGACAGAGGGGGAAGAGGAAGTAGAGAAGGACCAGATAGAAAGGAAAGCCAAGAGCAAACAAGAGCAAAGGGACTGAGGTAAGCAGCCCTCGGAAGATGCGTGTATGAGGAATAATAATAATATATAATACTAATATATTGATATTAAGCATGGTCACCCCTTAACAAACCAGAATACATTTTAAAAATTATATCCAAATCTGGAGGTTTTAGTAAAACTGACATCCTCATACTGTACAGAAGTATCATCAACTGACTTTTTTAAAGGTTTAATAAATTTTTATTTATTCATTATTTTTTAGTGTGGGGGGGTATGTGCACTATAGAATGCAAGTAGAGACCAGAGGACAACTTTTGGGAGTTGGTTCTTCTCTCACTGTGTGCGGCAGGGAATGAAACTCAGGTCTGCAGATTTGGTAGCAGGTACTTTTCTCACTAACCATCTCAAATACCCCATCAGTGGGCTTTTAAAAAACTCTCCTGGGCACCGCAGCTATGGTGATCTGCACAGGCTCACATCAACAGCCTCAGTCTACATTTCACAGGGAAGCACTAACTGAACTCAGTGGGTCACAAAGATGGGAGAGGGGACAGTAAGGTAGAAGGAGGGTATGCTGGGGGTCACAAGAGAATGGGGAGGAACTCTAGTGACCATGATCGAGATACATTGTACACATGTGTGAAAATTTCAGAGAATAAATGATAGATGTTCTTAAGGATGAACTCTTCTGGAAACCTCTTTGGGGGTGTGTATCATAAAATATCCTCATTGATTTCACTTGTAACAACAGTCCTAACAATTTAATCGCAGGAAGCAACTTTTAAAGGAAAAAGACGTAAGGCCCAGAGGACAGCCCTAATGTTGACTGCGAATGCCATGAAGTGGCCCTCTGCCTGCATTTGGTCATGCCATACACTCTGGGAGAGGCATGATTTTTCTTCCACAGCGACACCAATGGAGGGACAACACCGCTTGTGTGAGCAGCATCAGGTTAGACAGTCATCGAAGGTCTTCCAGCTAGTCTAGAAAACCTTCAAGGAGGTAAGAACTCACTAGAATCCTGGTACATGGTGCTTTTAAGAGGACCATGTCGCATGATGAGAGCCTTAGGGTATAATCTGAAAAATGTCTGAAGTAGGCAAGTGATTATTGGCTTGTGGAGACTGGGACAATGGCTCTCAACCCCACAAATCCAGTTTCCTCTTCTATATTCTGGATTTCATATTGCCCTTTTACCATCCAATGAACTCTACTAGGCTTGAGCATGGCAAACATGGCTCTGGCAGGCCTTGCCCTTCCCCCATGCCCTCCGCCTTGCTAAACAGTTAGATTATATTCCTGAAGCTGGCCACCAAGGTCTATTCCTTTATTTGGCCACTTCCTCCTCCTGAGGCTGACTACCAAGGATTTGCTATCAAAGTATTGAAGTCTAACAATCAGAAGTCCCCCTTTAGCATGACAAATTAAAATTAAACACTTCATCCTAACATGGGATTTTTCCCTTTTTTCCCTTTATAAACTGCCATTAGCTTATGGGTCACATCTGTCTCTTCTCTATCCAGAGTCAGTCATTTGTCCCTCCTGAGCAAAAATCCCTTCCCCCCTCTCTTGTTCCTTAAGTACCCCCCCTTGTCCTCTGTCTCCTGTCTCTGTCTCTTATTCCCTGCCCTCTGTCTTCTTTGTGCTGAGAACTTGGCCTTGGGTTGTCTTGTGCTGACTCCTCTCCTTTCACTATCCAAAAATGATGCTTATACATAATATAATCTATTTGCATACTTATTTATTAATTCAACCTGATGGACTGGACTAATTGTTAAATAAAAGAAATCTTTTCAGCAACTTGCAATAAAAAAATAACTGTATATGATACAAACCATCCTAGGGTATCACATCCTATGAGGCTTGGTCCTAGAAACCTGACTGGGTTGACCAGGAAATGAAGAAACAACAGACACATGGAGAGAAAAGCTGGGATCAGGCAGGATATGCTCATTTTGAGGGAGGGCACCTACAAAGAAACCCAGAAACTCAGTGTATTTATTGTATAGCAGGGGAAGGAGGGTTAGTTAGTCTTGATGGGAAGTCTCTGTGGGCAGCCATCTCAGGCTGTAAGCATCCTGGAGAAGGTCACTGCAATAGATGCTTCCTACACATTCAACATTCATACTGAACCTAGGGGAGGAAGGCTCTGCCATTTCCCTGTGCCTGATCCAGGAAATGTCTTGCTTTTTCCATATCTAAGGCACTAGGATCCCTGGCATGGCTGTGCTCGTGTCACTTTCAATTAGGATTTCATCAGTTCCCCACATAAGGGAGATAAACTCAGTCCCTGATTTTGAAAATATCTTATAGAGAACAGTCATGATGCCACAGAAGACCAATGACCACAGAGAAAAGAAGACATTTGCTGAGGAGACCTTAAATCTAGATGCAGTGTGAAGATGTGCACATTCACTGGAGCTCTGAGGTGGGCTGAAAGAAGCCAAGAGACTGTTGTGCCCAAATTCTGAACCCCAAAATCACCAAGAGGCCCATTTCGATGCAAAAGCAAAGAGTCTTTTATTGTAGATGTTTAATGAGCTAACCCCATTAGCTCGGGCCCTTCACCCCGTCACCATGGCAAATGGCTGGAGAAAGACCCCAAGCAACCTCGAGGCAGGGATCTTAAAGGGCAGCATAAGGGGAGTGTCTAGGGGCATGAAACAGTCTCAGTATTGGTACGCTTCCAGGTCTGAGCGTGTTGATTGGTCAACTTGTTATGGCCCATAAGCCCTCCCAGGGTGGTTGCTATGTTCTGAATGTCACTGTTGTGCACTGTCCATAAAGCACACCCAGAGCTTAAAGCACAGCCCTGCCAGCTAACTTCTGATTGGTTCCTTGCCATGAGGAGGGCATCTGACCTTAGTGACCAGGACAGGAGCGGCAAGGTCATGCAAGCACATGTTAGCCTGTAATGGCTGCTAAAACGGGGGACTGGTCACTACAGGACAAGAAGACAAACCACTGGAAATGTGCAGTCTACACCACAGCAAAATTGACACCTGTCCTGTCCTGGTACAAGGCCGTCCTCCATGTACTGGTGAAACAGGAGGAATGCCTGTCCCATCTCACGGGTGTCCCATTGGAAAATGTTCTCTCCCTGACCACGTGGCTTTCCGTAGGTGTGAGAAACCAAGATGCAACTGAAGATGACACTGAAAGCTAACTTTCAGAGAAAGCCAGGAACTGGTGTTGTTCCCTGGGAAGAGTCTATCAGGGAAGGGCTGCAAAGAAAGCTCACATCTGTGACCTTAATCTGGACTAGTGATGGCGGCTCTCTCTAGAGTCAACATCTGTAGACCTTGAAGCCAGACATCTGCAAGTCAAGTGTTAGGCCTGTTGCTTGCCACCTGTGTACAGGCTTTACGTAAGCCATTTGTCATCTTTAGTGTTTCTTGTCTAGAAAACAAATTAGAAATACTAATAGCCTACTTCATGTAACTCTGATGGAATCTCAAAAAACATTTGTGTTTGGAAGAGCTTGATAGGGCTGTAAAATTCTGGAAAAATACCACTATTGTTTCTCATTATTCCCTATTAAATTATTGCCTGTCATGAATTCCTCAAAGGGAATAGTCTAGACTTGAGAATAATGAATGACGAGTGATTGAGATCTATTGCAAGTTTTCAATGCAGCCTTGTAAGTTAAAATGCCTTATGGGCAGTGACAGCTGATGTCTCCTTGCTGGATCAGCTGTCCTCATACCTTCTGGGGGCTTTTAAAGGAGAATAAGTCAACAGAGATTGCTGGAGAGCTTCCTCCCAAGCTAAAGGCTTCAGGGTATTGTCAAGACTCATCTCAAGCAGCATCCGGTGCCAGCCCAGTCCTTCCTGC